AAATAAATAAAAATGGCATTTTTGATAATAAAATGAAGTTTATAATGTTAATTGTCTTTTTACTCAAAATCTGAGTTATACTAGTAATACTTTTTTGGGTGGGTTAATCTAGTTATTTTTTTCATAGTTTTGAGTTATTTTGGGTAACTGTCACTTGTTTTTATGCTATACATCAATCTATACAGTAAAAAACGATCATATATATACGATGTTTATACAGATAAAATCTTTGAGGGTTTAGCTTGAAGATTTCAATAACGAAGAAGACTATCTCTGAGAATCAATAATCATCGCTGGAATACCAAAAAAAGAAAAATCTGTTTGATAAATTACAACAAAACATGACAGCTCGTAGAAACTTTTACTAAAGAGATGAAGTCAAACAAAATTTATGGTTTTACAATAAGGGTAGGAGAATCTTGCATTCGTGGACCTCTTGGTACGTACATTGTCTTCCTCATGTGTGTATTTTTTCGTTAGGATTTCTAATTGTTTAATGGGAGACAAGGAAACAGATGTTGCAGCAATATACAATATATAATAATGAAACATGACAGTAGAGAATTCACCAAATGTTGACCATTTCATGATTCCACAAATGTTGTCCTCTGTTTTCTTGCCCCCCTCTCAATGATTTGGTTATGTAATTCAACTAAAATACTCTGCACTTGGCTTCTCAGTGTTAAAATTCAAGATACAATAAAGGACTGTTCAATGAAGGTAACAGTATCTTCCTGCAATCCAGAGAAAGGAAACAAATCTTTATACAGATACTCTGTTTGTTATATCTCGAACGGATGGGCGTAATTGTCAAAGCGAATATTATCTCCTTGATCTATCACTCAGGTAACAAACCAAAGACAAACAACCAATCATGGCAATCACAATAGAGCTCCCTAAGAACAGCGTAAACGACACACTAAATGCGAGAAACTGATATGACACGAATAGCAGAGAATGACATTTTATAGGAACACAGCCAAAAATTTCACCAATTTGATAGTACAAGTGTTCAAAGAACCCATTAGAGATCTCATGCGACAAGAATATTACCATTTACTATCATAATTAAGGATAAGCTGTTCATTTTACTATAGCGTATCAAATTCATTCCTTGTCGGGCAATATAACTCCATAACAAAACATGAGTTGCAAAAAGAATTCCACTTAGACAGCCAAGCCTTGCTCTTTAGCTTTCTTCAGCCATTTCAATGTAGTTTCAAGTGCAGAGTATGCAGAAGCATCTGTCAAACTCTTGCTTTCAACTGCGTAATCAAAAACTTCATAAGCTTCTGCAACTTTTCCATTTTTAACCAGAGCCCTCAAAAGCGTGGCATAAGCAGCGGTCTCAAGCTTTACGCCTTTTGATTTCATCAACTCATATAACTCAATCCCTTTGTCCATTAACCTTGCCTTGCACAATCCATGAAGCAAAGTATTGTAAGTGCAATCGTTTGGTGCACACCCTCTACCTTCCATTTCTTCTAACAAACTCAACGCGCCTAAAGTTGCGCCTTTTCTACACATCCCGTTCATCAGAGACGTGTACGTCACAGCATCTGGCTCATAACCTGCTTCAACCATAGTTTTCAAATACTTCCTAGCTTCCTCAACTCTACCGGATTTCGACAATCCAAATATCAAAGTATTGTAAGTAATAAGATCCGGCTCAACACCTTTTTCGATCATTTCCTTATAAATACTGATCGCCTCGCTCCCTTTGCTCAAGGTGCAATATCCTTTCATAAGAGTGTTATACAAGAAGCAATCAGGCTTAAACCCTGCATCACTAAGAGCATTAACTAGTCTCTTTGCCTCCCTCAAATTCTTGGAATTACAGACATTATCAATCAAGATTGTGTAGCTAACAAGATCTGGTTTCACCCGAAAAGATTTCCTCATCTCATCGATAAATTTGTAAACGAGACTAAGCGAATCGGTGCGCTTGCACAAATGCTTCAGAAGGAGGTTATAAGTATAAGTATCTGGAGGCGAGTGCTTCTCCGAGAGCTCCTTAACCAAACCCAAAGCTTCATCGACACGACCCGATTCGCAAAGCGATCGAACCGCAATATCAGTCGTTACTTGATCAGGCTTAACACCACTGTTAACCATGAGGTTGAGAACTCGATGAACATTCGAAAGAGACGAATCAGGAGCTCTACAAGCGTGAGCGAGCAATATATGGAAAGTAGAATTCTCCGGAGAGAAATCAGGCTGAGATTTCAAAATGTGTTGAAACAATTTCACCGTATCGTCAACGTCGGCGATTGAAGCGTAGGATTGGAGAACGGAGTTGTGGAATTTGAGATCGAGAGGGATTCTCGAAGTGGAAGCGATAGAATTGAAGAGGCTTTTGGCGTCGGAGAGATCTGGGGTTTTGAATGGATTCCTCAAGGGCTCGCGAGTGTCCTCGGAAGGTTTCAGAGTTTCTCTAACGGCGATTCTGCTTCGTGGATCACGCGGCGGCGGTAAAGGAGATGTTGTCGGTTTCTTCACCAGTTGCGTCGACGCCATAGATCGAAACGACGGCGGAACTTTCCCCATTTTCGATGAATCTAACGTTTAGGGTTCTTGCAGAGGTTTTTCTTCTGTATCAAATGGGAAAGAAGGCGCATGGTAGTCACTCTGGTGCGTACGTTAAAGAAAGTAAGAGAAACCATAGCTACACATTAAGCCTATTGGGCTTTTTTATAATCGGCCCAAAGTTAGTGCGTACGATAGACTCGCTCGCCGTCAACACATTACATTTTCTTTACTTTTCTGTACAAGTTTGAAGTTTGTGAGCAAAATCCCAAAAAACAACAATCTATGGAGCCCTAATGTGGCAAATGTTATTAAAAAAACTCAATGATCTTTTCTGTTTCATGATTGTAATTTGCAGACGAATTCAAGAGATTAGAGAAAAGTTTTGTAATGAAGAAGAACATATTTTTTTTGTCCAAATCAAGAGCCTGTGTTCATCTCAAAATCAAAGATTCTGTTTTGGCATTCTCTTTTTATAAAAGATGGTTGTATTGACTATTGAAAACTACAATTCTTTTGATTCATCAATAGGAAACAAAACGTCTTAAGTTTTTTATTAGATGACTAAAGTACAAAAACAAAAAAAGGGTTCTAACACAAAAGTTGACAAATGGCTCATAAGAGGCTCAAAGCTAAATTGTCTTAATATTCAAGCAAAAGTAAAACAGAGCCATTTCTTGACCGTTGGTTTATCACCGTCTTGTTTCCTCTGTGAATTCGTCTTCGTCGAACTCCGTCCCGTCTTTTTATCTTCACCGGCTTTGCTGAATATCACCGTGAATCCATCCGCGGTTGCCGGATCACTCACATCCCATTCTCCGAATTTCGGTAACGGTCTTCCAGCGTCATTCGATGACATTTTCGATCAAGAAAGTAACAATATTCTTTCTCTCAGGACAAAACTAAATCTTTTCTTCTTCGATGATGATTTGGTTTATAGGGTCTCAGACTCACGATGCAGATATATAATGGAGAAATTGAATAAGAAGAGAGAAAAAAAACAGATAAGTAGGATTGTCTTTCAAACCTTCCTACGAATTGGACTCGTTTCAGACGCGGCAGAATATTCTATTGGCTTCTTTCTTTCTTTTAATGTCTTAAAATCTTTCTGAGGTACAAAATCGTTGGCCTTTTCCGCGTAACAAAGCTAATTTTAGCATTTCCAATATCTCCATGGCTGATCTGTTTCTTCATTTTCACGCGGTAGTTTACGACTCTCTAATCTTTGTTTTCATATATGTAACCAGAGATCACAAGCTTCCCATTTCGTTAGCTTTCTTTCTCAGTAGATACTTTTGTATTTTCCCTGTCGACGTTTTAGGTAAGTCTCCGAAAACAATAGTCTTTGGAGCCATGTAATGCGGTAAATGAACTCTACAAAACCCGATAATGTCCTCGGGTTTAATACAATCAAACCCGTCTTTCAGCTTGACAAACCCGCAAGGAGTTTGTCCCCAGTGATTATCCTGACGTGCAACAACAGCTGCTTCAAGAACCGCTTGATGGCTACACAAAACTCTTTCGACCTCAACCGTGCTTATGTTTTCTCCTCCAGATATAATCACATCTTTTAACCGATCTTTTATCTCTATGTACCCGTCCGGATGCTTAACAGCGAGATCGCCACTGTGGAACCAACCACCCTCAAAAGCTTTTCGAGTTGCCTCTATGTCCTTGTAATATCCACTCATCACGGTATTTCCTTTGAACATAACCTCACCCATGGTTACACCATCGTCAGGTACAGTCTTCATCGTCACCGGATCTTTCACCTCGAGCCCTTCTAAACCCAAATGCTGCACTCCCTGTCTAGCTTTCAACTTAGTTCTCTCTTCCAGAGAAAGAGAATCCCATTCGGGTTTCCACACGCAGTGTGTCCCTGGACCGTATGTCTCTGTCAAACCGTAAAGATGAGACACATTGAATCCTAATTCTTCCATCTTAGCCAGAATCTGAGGTAGAGGCGGTGATCCACCCGTCATGACCTCAACTCTATGAGGAAGCGGTATATGATCTGTTACCGGAGAGTTCACAATCATGTTCAGCACCGTTGGGGCTCCTCCCATGTGAGTCACTTTATGCATAGCAATGTTCTTAAAGATCAGCTTAGGGGAGACTTTCCTGAGACATATATTGGTACCACCTTGAGCCGCTACTCCCCAAATTAGGCACCATCCGTTACAATGAAACATCGGTACTGTCCACAAATAAACCGGCGACACAGACATCTGGTGAAGAAAAACCGTAGCGAGAGAATTGAGATAAGCTCCTCTGTAGCTATACACAACGCCTTTAGGTCCAGAGGTCGTCCCTGAAGTATAGTTTATACTAATTGGATCCCATTCGCTTTTCGGTTTGATCACCTCGAATTCGCTGTTTCCGGATTTAACCAGAGTTTCATAATCGTAATCAAAAGAGTAGTTTGAACTTGATAAGCT